GGGAGTCTGCTTCTCCCTCTGACCCTCCTCCCTCTCATGCTCTCTGTCTCTCATTCTCTCTCTCTCAAATAAATAAATAAAATCTAAAAAAAAAAAAAAAAGAAAACACCACAATAATTTTTGGGTATTAACTATCTTTGTCACAGTTTGACTACATAGCCCAGTTGGCCAATGTAGCCAACTACAAAATAAACCAAGCATGCATCCCACAAAGCTGAATGAATGAAGTAAGAGAGGTTCTGACAGGGATGTCGTATCCTACTTGAAGATTCTGTAACCTAAAATGAATAATCGTAAGACTTAAAAATAAAGGACTTTTGCAGCAGCTTTCCAGGAGACTTGTGTAATCTGTCAGTGTTTGTGTATTTTTTTAGCTTGCAGTGCTTGTATTGTGAGAAGACCTTCAGGGACAAAAATACACTGAAAGACCATATGAGGAAAAAACAGCATCGGAGGATTAATCCTAAGAACAGAGAATATGACCGATTTTATGTCATCAATTATTTGGTAAGGCTTTCTCTTCATAATTTAAAATTTGATTGCATTTCCACAAACAAAAATCTTTCTAACGGCTGTCTAATATTTAAACAAGCAATTAGTATAAAAGTCAAAATGTAATCGAGGGACACTTCCAAGCAGTGATTAGCTTCGTAATGGCTAGTTTACAAAGCATAACTTGATTTGGTTTGTCTTTGATTTGCCAGATGTTTACACAGTAAAAATGTCATGTCTCTAGAATTCAAAGTGATCTGGACCAAAAAAAAAAAAAAGTAATAATAAACATAAAACATTTGAGTATCTACATACTCTTGCTCATTTGTTATATTATCTATTACCTTGAGTCCAGAGACTTCTATATTCTATTCAAAAACCATCTTTTGACATCTGGATGTACTAGGTGTCTTATGCTAGATAACTTTTTAAAAACAATCTCTTCATGGGGCACCTGGGTGGCTCAGTGGGTTGGGCGTTCAACTCTTGATTTCCACTCGGGTCATGATCTCAGGGTTGTGAATTTGAGCCCCTAGTCGGGCTCATGCACTGGGCATGGAGCCTCATTAAGATTCTCTCTCTCCCTGTCTTCCCACACACCCCCCTCAAAAAAAAAAAAAAAAAATCTCTTCTCTCTTCCCTCTCTCCCCATTAAAAAAACCCTCCTTTTCCCACAAAAAAAATTTACCATCCTCCTTGGCCAGCTTATCTTTGATGGAAATTTTAGAGAAACCAATCATTTCACTACACAAGAGGACTTTGATTTGTATGGCTAATAGAATGTAATAATGGTGTTATCACGTCAAGGATTTTAAATACATTGAAAGTTTTCCTTGCCTAGAAACCTCAATATCATTTCCTGAGCTTTTTGGTTAAGAGAAGGTATTCAGTTGGAGGCAAGTGTCACTAGGGGGGCATTTAGAAATGGAAGAGGGGATTTCAACTGACACAATGACTGGGAGTTCTACTGGCCCTGCCCTACTCTGCTGAATTTAGGGGTGTACATAACAAAGGAAATAATCCACTCGTGTAAAGAAAAGGGTTACATAACTCTCCACTTGAATTAGGAGAAAGGGAGTTGTTTCAGACACTTTTCTTAAGCAAATGGAAATTATTTTTTTCCTCTCAATAGGAATGAATTAGAATCCAAACTCATGGCCACAGAGGGCATAATTGATTATAATCAACCATTTTATCAATTGGACAGAAACAAACATATCCTGAAATATGTTGGAAATCTCTTGGTGGGGTGGAATTTTTGTCTGTTCTAACTAATCCTTGTAGAGTTAAAATAAAATTCCGCTTGAGAAGCAAGTTTGACATGTGTTTGAAGATTGACTCTGAGAAGTTGCCATGATCTGCTACAAATGTTTTACAACTAGCTAAAGGCAAAGGCACCCTTTGAGTCCTTCAATTTTCTCTTGAAATCACTGTCATTAATTCCTAGAACAAATGCTGCTTCAGGACCCAGCCCAATCCAGTGGGGAGTGGACTTCAGTGTTAGCTCTAAGAAATATCAGCTATTGCAGAAAGCTGTGGAAGCAATTTAATAGTACTTCCTTCTGGGGATCTTTTAAAATAATATTCGAGAGCTTGGGACTAGCGGAAGATTATATATATAGCTGGAGGTATTTACCTTTTAGAGGAGACTTCAAAGGGACTGTTCACTCAAATTTTGCTGGCACTTTTAGAAAAGTATGATGCTTTATTCTCTGGGCATCAAGTAGTACGTCTTTCAAAACTGAAATTGTCTGCAAGGACCAGCTGTCTCTAGATGGGCATGCTAGATTATACCACCCACTGAGTGCCCAGATATGATGTGGCATGAATCATAGCTTAGGAGCAGTGTTTCAAGAAAACATGAAGACTGTAATAGTATATAAAATGAAAATTAAATCATTTTAGGAGAATATTGATAGAAGTAATTTTTTCTTTTAACTAGCAGCATTTGACTACTTGCTATATGCCAAGCACTGTCTTGTATATTATTAAGTCATTTACTCTTAACCATATCTATATGTCACAGATTTTATTATCCCCATTTTATAGATTTGGAGAGTAGGCACAGATCTTTTCCCAGAGTCACATAGTTAGAACAGGATACTTAACCTCTCTGTGTATCAGTTTCCTTCGCTTTTTCCTCAGTTGAAATAAGGTACCTACCTCTTACTTTTTTGGTTGGGTTTTTGGTCAAGTAATGATGATGAATTCGTAATGATCTATTCACCACCTTCTTGCCTGTTCTCTTTTGTACTAAACTAGAAAGTGAGTCAAGGTCAAAGTAAAGCTGACTTTTTAATAAGCTCGTTAAGGGCTCTGACCCACAACCTTAGCCTTCTTAGCCCTGTATGCTTTCCCACTGAGGTAAATAGCTCACAACAAGAAGAATGATTTTAAAAACAAAACCTAAAATGTTACGATTAGCCTTAGCATTTTGGAAATTATACAAAATTACCTTAGAAAAGAATTGAATTAGCTAATAAGGTCTCTAAAGATGTAGAAATGTCCTAACGTAGAGAAGTGCTTACCAGAAGTATCAACCTTAATACCATCCTGAGTAGTGTTGTAGATAAAAGGTATAATATATAGAAGGGGTATATAAAAGACTGTTCCAAATACTAATACTGTGTAGTTAGAGAAAAATGAGGGTCAGAGATTGCTCAGCATCATTTTAGTTTCCTTTCAGACACCATGAATGAAAATACTTAATATTTCACAGAAATATTTAACATGAAGAATAAATTCTTCTAAAAGTTTACTTAAGCAATGAATAATGACATTGCTTTAGTTTTAAAAAGGAAAAAAAAATGCTGACAGACACTCACTGTGTATTCCTCTGCGGAACAAGGCTGACATGAGTGATGAGTGTGGGGCCAAAGAGAGAACTGTTGTATTAGTCGTCAGGGTCTGCACATCCATTTCTCACATCCTCTTCCCTGCAAGAAGCACTTCCACTGGCGTCATACATTCTACATACATTGGAGTGCCTTCCAGTACCAGACACTGGTGGAGCAGGAAGAAAAATATTACAGACAAGGTGGCTGATTTAAGTCACTACTCAGAGAGTTTAGAGGTCGTATGAGAGACAGACATGTAAGCACCTAATTTCAGCGCTTGGGGGTGGGGGGTACAAAGTTAATGCGTGGGCCTCTCCTGTAGCAGCTATGTGCCCACGGGGTTCCTCAACTCCATCGGAGCAGAATCTCCAGGCAGCAAGTGAGGGCAGCACCCAGGGTATCCCTGGCAAAATGCACTCTATAATCATCATCAAGGGTGGGAGCGCTAAGACACGGAGGGTGTTTTTGACTCTCTTCTGAGCTCAGCAAATTGATAGATTCCTTTTTCTTCCTTAGGTGAGATAATTTCCGTACTTAATAATTCATACCAGTTTTTGAATAATAACAGACTTGCAAATACATAAAAAGTCACTATGCATAGTCTAGATTACCTACTACACGTTCTCTGTTTTCTCACAAACAAAAGTGTTCGATGAAGAGTGGACCAGGATGGTCAAGGGGACAATTTCCCAGGCAGTTTCACGTTCAGATGCCCCTGCCATCATCACTGAGCCTTCAGCTACCTATTCCTAAGGCATTTATGTTTCAAGCCCTGAGTTTTCCTAAAGGAAATTATTTTTGCAGTGGTTTTGTCATTTTTTATTTTTTTTATTCTTAAAGATATACAAAGCCATTTGTAACAAAAGTCTGCTCTTAACCTGTTTTTCACAGTTTTAGTATAGTTCTTTCTAATGAAATTATTTATATTTAGAACACTTTTTTTTTTTTAAAGATTTTATTAATTTGAGAGAGTACAGGTGGGGGAGGGTGTGGCAAGGGGGAGGAGCAGAGGGAGAGAAAGAAGCAGGGTCCCTGCTGAGCAGGGAGCCAGACACAGGGCTCCATCCCAGGACCCTGGGATCATGACCTGAGCTGAAGGCAGACACTTAACTGACTGAACCACCCAAGTGCCCCCATTTAAAACACTTCTCAACTAGAATTTAAATTAAAACTTGAAAAAAATAAAACATTTCTCTTTCTCTGTTTATAATGGGTTTTTCGTGTAAGTACATATATAAGTGTCTGTGTTGGAGCGGTGGGGATGCTAGATGAAGGGGATTTATATTTTGTTTTTCTTGTCCACCCTCTCATTGATCATAAACCATCTGATGTAGGGGGTTGAGGGGGTGTGCTGAACATCTCTACTGACGTGCCTTCCAAACTTTGTTTTTCTTGAAATCTTTGCTTTCCTAACGTGATTCATTACCAGGCACAGCATCTTAATTAGAGAGTTCTGTCTTTTTTTTTTGGGCGGGGGGGGAGGTCTTATTCCTATAATAAATCATATATATTTGACTATACAAGGCAGAGCATTCTAGGAAAGCCTGGGCCAGTGTCACATGCAAACCACTTGTTTCTTAATACACTAACGAACACCAAGTTCCATTTTCCTCTCAAGTGGTAAATGGTTAGTGCTGTTGCCTAGGAAAATCCCTACATGTTATACTGAATACTTGCCAAATAGTATACTGAAAGTTGCAAAATAATGCTTTGGGTTTGGAAGTTTGACACTGAAAGCTATTCTATGTCTCTTTGGCCAAAACATTTATTGATAAGCAACATTTGTCCATATCATTGAAAATGGTAATACCACAGATGGCCCTTCTTTGAATAATGTCCTGCAACAATGACCTTAAAGTACAGGTCCAGAGAGATCTAGTAATCCATGAAAGATGTAATTCATCACCAAAAATTCCAACTAACAAGGATCCTGTTGGCAGTGTTGAAGCCATTCCTCGTGTCCATAATGAGGTTCAGACATTTCATGATAACTCTGGGAAGTACATTATAGAGTCCAAATTAACTATCTCTAATGACATTATGGTAAATCTCTGTGTGTCTGAGTTTATGCATCATTTAGCTGATAGAGAATGACAGCTTCAAAACCTCTCATTAAGTTGATGGATGATAGATTTTCTTTTTTCCCTAAATCATAATGGACCTTGTAGTTCTTTGTTTTTGCTTAAGTGAATACCTTTTTTGGGAAAAGAAGCTCAAAATTGAGAATAAATTTTAGTTATTTTTTTCCAAAAGAGGAATATCAAACAAGAATGTCTATATTTATAGCAGGTCAGGTTGGACTTGACTGTAACCATAGTTTAGCTGCTTGGAAAGGTGTCCATTATTGTTCCTACATCCTTCTTTAGTGCACTGTCTGCTTTTGCATGGCACAGTGGTAAAATTGGATGGAGAAAGAAGAAAAGATAAGAAAGAGGAACAAATGACTCAAGAATAGAAAAGATAAATGGTTAGGCCAAAAGAAATCATTCCTGCTCATTACTCCATAAAGTTTTGCTGAAACTATGACTAAATTTGCCAGACATAGCCCTAAGTGGGTGCAACTTCCCGTGAACTGTGAGAGATAAAAGGGATTGAAGTAGATATTTGAGCACTTAACTGTTGCCTGCAACCGTGTACTTTATATAAAGGGATACCTTGTTTTATTGCACTTTGCTTATTGTGCCTCACACGTTTTTACAAACTGAAGGATTGTGGCAATGCTGTGTTGAGCAAGTCTATCTGCGCCATTTTTTCAACAGCATTTGCTCACATCAGGTCTCTGAGTCACATTTGGTAATTCTCGCAATAATTAAGGTATATACATTGTTTTTTTAGACGTAATGCTTGCACACATAATAGAGTGCAGTGTAATCTAAAAATAATGTTTATATGCACTGGGAAACCAAAACATTCATTTGACTTGCCTTACAGTGGTAGTCTGGAACCAAACCTGCAATATCTCTGGGGTGTGCCTGTACATGAACTAATTTATTTAATCACCTTACAAAAACCTTTTGAAGTAGGATCCAAATTGGCCTTAAATCTTTAGACTTTTTCTGTTACAATTCAATTTAAAAATACTTTCTAGTACTTACTGTATGCCTGGCTCTGGAAATGGACATTCTGGTGGAAAAAACGAATAGCAAATGAGAAAACAAATAGATACACAGAACTGATTTCAGGCAGTGATTGATGTTTAAAAAAAAAAATAAAACATCATAGGGGAATAAAAAGTAACTGGGAGCAGGGGTGTTGCTTTAGACAGAGGAGTCAGAAGAAGAGGTGGTAACATTTAAGCAGATGCCCCCACACCTGAGCCACACAGTTATGTGAGAGAGCAGTGTTCAGGCAGACGTTCCAGCAAGTCCGGAAGTAGCCGGTGGAGGTGAGTTTGCTGCTTTCAAGGGACAGCAGAGACACTGATCTGTCTGGAGCAAACTGAGCCAGAGAAAAAGTGGTGGTACATAAGGGATGGAGAAGGAGCCGGAGCAGATCTTCCAAGCCATGATAAGGCCTCTGGATTTTGTTCTAATTGCGGGAAGAAGCCATGGGAGGGTTTATACAGACAGGGAAGTGTCCTTTAGAAAGATCACTGTGGTTGCTGTTTGAAAAATAGACTGTAGGGGCCTTGGGGAGAAACAGTCCGGCTAGCTCCCTGTTCCACAGGCCCCAGCAAGAGATAGTTTCGGGTTTTTAAAAAGGTCCCCAAGAGATTCTACTGTGCGTCCAGGGTTGAAAAACTGGTTTACATTTAAGAGAAAGGAATTTGATTGAAAGAATATCACTCCTTCTCCAAGAAAAAAAAAACATATTAAGAGCATTTTAGGATACATCCTTCCTTGTCACTGAAATAACTCTTTTAATAAATCCTACTTGAATTGATTTAAAACCAGTGAGTATGTGGTCTTGAGTGGGTTTTTTATGGGGTTTTGTGTGTGTGTGTGTGTGTGTGTGTGTGTGTCTATTTTCTCTCTCCTTTCCTCTCTTCCCCCTGCTCCCTCCATTTCCCTAATCTCTCTGTTCTTCCCACAAAAGGAACTTGGAAAATCGTGGGAGGAAGTTCAATTGGAAGATGATCGGGAGCTGCTAGACCATCAGGAAGAGTAAGACTTGTTATAGCTGCTAATTAATTGCTGTGTTTTAAGAGTAGGAAAACATTTCTTTAGTTTGGTTTAAAATTATTATTCTGAAGAGAATAGAAATGAAGAAAATTTTCTCTCTGAGTCATGCATCCGTCCATGTAATAGTGCAAAAACTTGAATGCAAAGTAACTTTGACATAAAAATCACTAAAGCAACTGTTACTCCAGCCAAATAGTGTTTTGCCATTAAAATTGTTAACTGAGGGGTGCCTGGGTGGCTCCGTCGGTTGAGCATCTGACTCTTGGTCTTGGCTCAGGTCTTGATCTCAGGGTTATGAGATCGAGCCCTGCATCAGGTGCTATGCTCAGTGTGGAGTCAGCTTGTCCCTCTCGCTCTGCTCCTCCTCCTCTGTCTCTCTCAAATAAATAAATAAAATCTTTAAAAGTAAATAAATAATAAAAAAACTTTAGGGGCGCCTGAGTGGCTTAGTTGGTTAAGCATCTGCCTTCGGCTCAGGTCATGATCCTGGGGTCCTAGGATGGAGCGCTGTGTCTCCCTGCTCAGCAGGGAGTCTGCTTCTCCCTCTCCCTTGGCCTTCCCCCCTCCCCCGCTTGTGCTGTCACTCTCTCTAATAAATAAATAAAATCCTTAAAAATAAATATGTAAATAAATTAATAAAAATAAAATTTTTAAAGTTTTTTAAAAACTGTTAATTGAACACACAAGTAAAATATAATGCAAAGAAAAATACATTCCATTGGTGTTTTGCTCACTTGGTTGGTGCCCAGACCTTGAAGTTACACAACCTTTGAACTCTCCATGCTGCTTATCATTGGAGTAGAGAATGTAACAGAATTAAAGTTAACCTCGTTCCATGTTCATCCCATTGACCTAGTTAAAACATTCACAGCTTCTTTCCTTAGAATTACAAGCTTGGGAAGTGTTCTTTTCAACCTAAAATGATTACCTGTTATTCATCCGCTTTTCCTTCAAAGCTGCTTTGCCTTTTTTCTCTCCTGGGATTTCAGTTTTCCAGGCTTAGGAATGACAAGAAGTTGGCAGTGTCTTAAAAATAAATGCAGGACTGGTAACCTGGGTCCTGTATGGTTTTTGACTTCTCTGTTTACTGCCAGATTTAACACTTGCCCCATTTAAAATGATCAATATTTCTCACATGAAAGATATATGGTTTGCCTTTTTAAAACACACCATTTGTCATGCAGAGACACACTCCCAGCATCGCACCTCACAGCGTGTGTACTTAGTGGTTGTGACTAATGAGAAAGCATCTACTGATATGCCTCTTTTGCAAAGTAAACCTAGTTGTGTCAGAAAGACATTATACTGATTCTGTAGTAAAATAGCTGCTCAGAAGAGAAGCAAATAGAAGAAAATAGAGCAGCACCTGTTCGCTATTTATATTAATTTCATGGTGCTGCTTTGAATTTCAAAAGCTGTATCAAAAAGTCATAATATGATGTGACAATCTTTACAAAGATGTCAGAGTTGAAAGAGATTGGCAGGGTTTCCCAGCGAGGAGGAAGTAATACCAAGTGACTGCGTAGTACACCCTCTTAATGAGGAGAATCTCTTTATTTGCTGTTTGCTTTTTAACACAGTGACTGGTCTGATTGGGAAGAACGCCCTGATTCTGCTGTCTGCCTATTTTGTGAAAAGCAAGCAGAAACAGTTGAGAAATTATGTGTCCACATGGAGGTGAGATATTTTAATTCATTTGAATTTTGTTTTGTTCTGACAAGGGGAAGCTGATCATGATTGCAATCTTAAAAGCTTATAAATTTAATTTGTCATTATCCTATTCCTAAAAGTGCTGTAAGCAGGGCACTTGGGTGGCTCAGTTGGTTAAGTATCCAACTCTTGGTTTCAGCTCATGTCATGAACTCAGAGTTGTGAGATCGAGCCCCACGTTGGGCTCCACACTCAGCGTGGAGTCTGCTTGAAAGATTCTCTCCCTCTTCCCCTCCTCCTGTGCTCACTCGTGCCCTCTCTCTCAAATAAATAATTTTTTTATTAAAAAGAACGTGCTTTAGGCAAAAAAAGAAGAGACAGGCAGATCCATCAAGGAGAACCAGAACTCAGGGCAATTTAGTACAATGCACAGGATCTGTGCAAACTGTTAGGGTGGGATTTCACAGACCACTGATGCCATCCTACCTCTGAGGTGTTTATGAGATAGTTCTAGTTTAGAATGTGGGGCCTGTAACCATGATTAACAGTACTCAAGACATGGACAGGTTCTGAGTCTTTTTTCACTGCTTGTTGTGCTAGTGAATAAGGAAAGCGGGAAGGGGAAAGTTCCCTTCACCAAGCCTTGAGGGAAATGGGGCAGGGGGACATGGGGGATGTAGAGGCAGAGAGGGTACAGGGTGTGCTTGTGCAGCTCCTACCGTTTGGATTTGGAGGGAAGAAATTTGAGGGTATTTCCAGTTCATGTGTTCCCTTCTGGATGCCATTTTTATGTTATAATGAAGCTTGAAGCTAGTAGTTCTAAACCTTTTTTTCACCCCAGTATATCTGAGAGATGACACACTCCCAACATCTCTGATCCTCGGCTGGACGGTGGGGGTGAGGAGGGGAACATCTAATGAGTCATGACAGTATCGCAGCTTGGGGGTAGAGGGGTGATTATAATAAAAAAAATATTACTGGATGATTCTGATGTGCTCTCCCTACCCTCCCCCAGCCATCTCTGCCAACAGTGACACAGACTATCCTGTTTCACCCACCTTCTCCCCACTCGCATTCAGAAACACTGTTCTTAGTTCCATTAAAAAAAAGAAACTAGGGGCACCTGGGTGGCTCAGTCGTTAAGCATCTGCCTTCGACTCACGTCATGATCCCAGGATCCTGGGATCGAGCCCCACATCGGACTCCCTGCTCGGAGGGAAGCCTGCTTCTCCCTCTCACACTCCCCCTGCTTGTGTTCCCTCTCTCGCTGTGTCTCTCACTGTCAAATAAATAAAGTCTTTTAAAAAAATAAATAATAATTTTTTAAAAAAAGGAAACTAGAAGGTGTGTGAAAGGCCTTGAGCATTTACCCTTATGAAAGCAGAGAGTCGTTTTGTCTGAAACAGGTTGCTAATAGTTTATGTGTATAGTTTCCAGTGTTTAACTTTAATTCATAATATCTTAATATCTTTGAATTGAAAGGAGTCTTAATACCCCAACCCTGTGTAGGAATTTCCTTTGCAACATCCGTGACCTGTGTCCTCAGCCTCTGCTCAGTCACTTTCAGTCATAAAGTACCATGGAATTCCTAATTATCGTGCCTCTGATGTTACACTGAATGCCTTCATAGGGAGTTAGATGGTCTTCATTCTCTGTAAGCTTTTAAGTTCAAACATTTACCCAGATGGACGATTACACGAGTGAAACAGAATAAGGCTGCATTGTAAAAATCAAAAGAAATGTAATTTACGGGAAGATGTCAGTGAAGAGAAATTTGCATTAAACAGCATATTTAACAGCATAAAATGAAAAGCAGATTTGTAAAATTACCTATCTGCTTGTGTAGCAAAGGACCTATATCCATAATTGTAGTCCAGGCACACAATGTAGTAAGTAGGGCCACATCTTACTAGAGACTGAGGACACTTTTGTCAGACTGCAGAATGCATACATAGTAAATTGTGAAAACTGTAGATATAAACTGTGAATAATTAAAATGTTTGAACTGATTGGCATGACTTGTTTGGACTGTGCTTTAAAAAGTAGTTGGATGTGGTGGGGGGAAGCAGTTATATTTCGAATACTTCAAAAGCAGAACATGATGAACAGACTGAGTTTCAACAGTGTTCAAACTCCTATGAATAAGCCGTCTGTTTATAACTTCAGCCTAAAAGATTAAACAATTTATATGCTCACAGATATTCATTCCTTTTTTTAGGATGCTCACGAGTTTGATCTCCTTAAAATAAAGTCAGAACTTGGTGAGTTTGATTCAGAAGTTGTTTTCCATGATGCTGCGTTTTTATACACCATCCTGTAAATGATGCCTGTGTTCAGTAGTCGTGATGAGAGAGTGCACAGCCAAAATGTGTCTCTCCACAGATGGTCTCACGGGATTGCCTGAAGCAATGATTCACAACCATTTTGAACTGTAATATTCAAATATGGTTTTTTATTTCATATGGTCTTTCTTCTTTCCTACATATATGAATGCTTCAAATAAAATACAAGTTAAGGGTTAGTATCTATTATAAATAAAGTGGAGGGAGCTAATGGAAAGACCATGGATTTTGAAGTCAGACTAGAGTTCATATTCCAGCTCCAGCACTTACTGGCTGTGTGACATAAGGCCTCGGGTCAACAGAACGTGAAGGGAGTAGATAATGTATATAAAATACCTACTGGGGGCGCCTGGGTGGCTCAGTTGGTTAAGCGACTGCCTTCGGCTCGGGTCATGATCCTGGAGTCCCGGGATCGAGTCCCACATCGGGCTCC